TGGACGCAGAGCCTAGAGGAAAAACCCTCTGCCCTCCGTCGGGGATCGAACCCCGATCGCCCAGCCCGTAGCTAGTCACTGTACTAACTGAACTATCCTCATAGTTCTGTTACTTGGATAAGTAATAACTAATGCAGGGAATGTGAGAGAGGTATTTTTACTGTTTTGGCAGTCGTGGATTAAAGACTGACTATTTCTTTGGTGAACTGCCAGAAGTTTAGATTTTGAGTTGAACAGTGATTCATGGATGAGTAAACTAACATTTATGATTAATTCAGCACCACAGGGGAATGTATACAGCAGCCTGGGACAAGAATGTGCTGTTGCTGGATGTAGTGTCGATCTGTTTATATTCAACAATTCTTACATTGATTTGGCCACCATTGGACAAGTATCAAGATTTTCTGGCGGAGAAATCCACAAGTACTCAAATTTTCAGGTATATGAACTGTTGCTTAAAAACCTGAGATTGAGTAAATTGCTTAATAGAAATTTTAGTCAAATGCTATAATGAAATTGATATAAAAACATTGCTGTACATGGTTTTCTGAAAGTGAGAAACTATCACTCTGATGTGTCTTAAATTAAAGAATAATCATGTGTTTACATTTACAAATGTTGGACAGGCTGATGTGGATGGTGAACGACTTATAGCAGATATCAAACATGATGTGAGTCGTCCAGTTGCATTTGATGCCGCCATGAGAGTGCGCACATCTACAGGTGTTAGGGCGACTAATTTCTACGGTCACCACTTTACGTCAAACACAGGGGAAATGATACTTGGCAGTATTGACTGTAATAAGGTGAGGAAGTACTTACATATACATCAGCAGTAATATAAAAGGCTTGTGTATAATTGGTTTAAAATTTTGGATGTGTTTTAAAGTGACAATTCAATTTTTCATATGTGGAAACATACCAATTAGTTTTGCTGTCTTGCTTCATATTAGTAATTCAGACAGTGAAACTGAAATTCTGTGGATGTGAGAGTTGAGGTTTTCATAATAATAATATTAATAATAATAAACATCAGGGAACTGCAGAAGACCACCATTTTGGGAACTTCATACATCATCCGGAAGACGCTTTCATAAAATAAAATTATATAATACATGTGGCACTTGCTAAAAACAATATGTATCCCGGAAATAGCTGCCGCCCTATGTACCTTAGGGACGAGGTCTGTCTCGGGTACATGGAAGTAAAAACCCCATAAAGTGGTGAATAGATGGGATAATAATAATAATAATAATAATATTTTATTACATTCCATATACCCATAAGACAGTCAGATGACAATAGGATGTGGAAAAAGTCATAATAATACAATACATATTATAAAGTATAATTCATACTATTATATAAATTACACATAATACAAAACAAAGGGTTCACCTAAAGAAATGATAAGTTACAAATAAATCCACCCATTATATACAATAGATAAATTATGACTTATTTGTAAACATTAGAAATTCATCGACAGAGTAAAAGGAGTGTGTAATTAAGTATCTTTCTATGCTACCTTAAATTGCTCCTTCTTTTTTACAAGACTTGTGAGATTTGATGGTAGACTGTTGAAAATTTTGATCCCTGCATAATACGCACTCTTCTGAAAGCATGAGAGGTTGGCAATTGGTCCATGAAGCTGATTTTTATTCTTTGTGTTGACACTGTGTACAGGAGAATTAGTTTGAAAGAGTTCTTGGTTATGTACAATAAAGTTCATTAATGAGAATATGTATTCACAAGGAAGAGCTAAGATCTCTAATCTCTAAATAGACTTCTACATGAATTTCTAGGTTTTACACCAGCTAATAATCTAATAATTTTCGTTTGTAAAGTGAATATCTTTTTACTGTTTGATGAATTACCCCAAAGCACTGAAGCTGAATTACTAAGGTAGTGTGAATCACATTCTCATCCTATGCTAATATTATAAGTCTTGCCTACAAAATCCGGGTGAAATTTGGTTATACAGCAGACTCTGTAACTACATCTCAAGCTTAAAGACCTTTTTCTGGGAATCCCAAAATTCCTCACATGAGGAAATAATTCTTTGCAAATATAACATATTTAGTACTGTTCCAGATGTCCAACAGTATAAGGTATTTTGTTTCTTGTTAAGTATTTTTAATACTGTTTTTTTTTATAAAAATGGGTGAGATAAGAAAAAGTTGTGTTATATGGAGTATTAAAAATTGATAAATTATTCTTAAACTTAGAAAATGCCAGTGATTATTTTTACTTTGTGCTGCATTTTTAGTACACTTTATTCATTAACTGCAAGTGAAGATTGTAACCCCATCCTACCGGTTTGTGCTATTTATACCTGCTTAGCAAGAGTCCATAGTAACTGTAGAAGTTAAAGACCATAAAGTCCGAGCATTGGTATGAGATCTGAGTTCTCTTCAACCATCAGGGTAAAAAAGTTGATGTAAAATTATTAACAGTGCTACTGTGTTGCAGGCTCTCACCATAGAAATAAAACATGAAGATGACCTTACAAAAGAAGATGGAGTGTATATTCAGGTCGCTTTGCTGTATACATCATGTGGGGGTCAGAGACGAATTCGCATCCTGAATCTGTCACTCAATAAGTGCATACAGATGCGTGATTTCTTTCGACGCTGCGACCAGGGTACCATCATTAACTTTATTGCCAAACAAAGTATGTGATTCATGATTTATTGTTATGCATTATTTATTAGCATTTGTAATTGTTGTAAGATGAGTGGGAGTGGGGCATGCAGCATACAAATTGGACATGGCAAATGTATAGAAATGTTAGACAGACAGCCTGAAGTGAAGACACCACTAGGGACATACAGACATTTCTGCAACAATATTACTAAACTGGATGCTAAAGATCTAGAAAACAAGGATGCGTACTGATTAAACAGTTGTAGAGTATGGTTGGTGGCAGACTTCTGTTAACACTGCAGTCATCCTCCAAGTTGCACGAAATGGGGGGAATTTCTAATTCAGCTAAGTGACTGTCAATTTCTCAAGTAGGACTCTGGTATGTGTAGCTAGCAGGTCTAAAGCTGAAGAGCCAGATAATCATGACAAAGATTGTCTAAAGGTTTTGACGTAGGTGCGTGAAGAACCTGAAGCATATTCTTGGACATTATCTGTTAATTGAAAAAAATGTAAATACCACAAAATGTTTTGGAAGGTAGCTTTAAACATTGCAATAGAAATTTTCTCCAGGTCATGGAATCACATATGATTTTTATGATTTATGTTTGGTTTCACGCGGTCTGAGGCATGGACCTCATGTGCCTGGCCGCTAGGACCGTGGGTTCGAGTCCTGCTCAAGGCATAGATGTCTGTCCGCGTTTGTATAGGTAGAGGCCTTGCGTCGGGCTGATCACTCATCCAAGGAGTCCTACCATTGTCCAAATAGATCAATAAAATAAGTAAAACCTTGACACCTATGGGTAAAAGAGGATGAGAGAAAGAAAGAAAGATATTGGTTTCAAATTTATGTGGAGATATTCTTAAGAACTCATTGAATGTTGGCCTTTATTGTTTATTATATGTTTGGTTTGTTTATCTAATAGCTGTGTTCCGACTGTTGGAGTCATCACGAAAATCAGTCAAAGAAAACCTGGTAAATCAGTGTGCACAGATGCTGGCTTGCTACAGGAAGTGTGAGAGACGGGCATCAGAAAGGCAGCTTATCTTGCCTGTGAGCATGGAATTTCTCCCACTTTATGTTTACTGCATTCTCAAGAGTGATGTAGTCTCAGGTTAGTACATGTATTTTGAGCATGTGCTTAGGTTAACATTTACATTGATAGTGCAGTGGGTATGGGTGTAACTCTGTGGGCTGGGTGATTTTCACTATTTGTTATAATTTTCCACAGGCCAGAGAAAACCACTGAATGAAGACAGAAAATAAATTGTGATGTGGGGCATTGTAGTTTGTGAAAATTGTGGAATGTCAGTTAATCTCATTACATAGTAAAAGTGAACGCAAACTAAGTACAATTTTGTTATTATCTGAATCAGTGTTTACAAAAGAACTGTTAGTTTTTTTTATCTAAAAATCTTTAATAATCCTTCTCAAACATTTTTCTTCAATATTTTATCTCATGACAACAAAGCAACCAAGCGTTAAACAGCTGTTATGACCAGTTCAAAAAAATAGTACTTTTTTTTGACTATTCAGTATTTTACAAGTAATATGTGAAATACTGGCGTGTGGTGGTAAGTGGATGAATTGCAAGACGTATAGGAGCAATAATATACTTTTCAGGCCAAACTAACAACAAAATTCACTGTAATATTACTCCAGCCATGTTTTTAGTATACGTCCCCATGCAGTAATATTATGGCAGCCTTTGCTGTAAGTGTGAAGTGCAGATGTATGGAACCGCCACATACCTATTGGTTCTACTAACAGCCCATAGCACAGAAGGTCCGTATAACACGTTTGACAACCTAGACCATTTAAATTATTATCAGAGGGAATTAAAATTGTAAATGACAAAATTACAGTATTTCACCTTACATTCCCTTCTCTGTTTCATAGATATGTTCTCTTTCTATTACCTAAGAAATTTAATGTAATATGATGAACTATTAAATTCTTTTCTGGGCACAGTGAGTGGTCTTTAATGTTTCCTCAGTTTCTTTAATTAGTCTCAGTGTGCAGATACAATTTATTCCTATATTAGCCAGCAGTTTTGTATAGTATACTGTATAGTTTTTGACTTCTATAAACTACAGCTTTACATAAGTATTGAATCTAAACATTGTGGGTGTCACACAGCCAGCCAGAACATACCAAAAGGATGATTACATAATGAATAGTAGACTTACAGTGGAAGAATATGCACATATGGTTGAATATTTGCCTTGAGGTCATGTTAGTCTTGAGACTGAAACCCACAGAGTTCTTTTCAGGGTATAATATATATCCAAATTGTGGGTTTATGGGTATCATATATCATCAGGATTAAACTTAATTTCTCTTATAAAACAGAAAACAAAGGTTTAGTCCATGCTCATAAGTATGGTACTTGAATTTTATGTAACTTCAGACTAAAAGGCCACATTCGTATCTCTATTTATTGTGGAAATTGAAAGTGTTTTCTTAATAATTATGAATATGCTGATCACAGAATTACTGATTTTTTACTGATTTTTAATGATTTTTAGTCTTCATTTTTCTTATGATGTTCTTGTCCTTTTATATTGTTTCTTCATTCGTTGTAGTATCACAGGTCACTAATATGTTTGTATTTCGTATTTCGTAGTGATGTCAATGTTTTGTATATGGACTGTGAAGTAAAGGTTTCAAACTATCAATGAAAATTGAATATAGAAAACAAAATAAATAGTTGAAATTAATCATGTGAACTTACCCAAGAAGTAATATCTTATAATATGTATATCAAAATTGTGGGTTTATGGGTGTCATATCATCAGGCTTAAACTTATTTTTTCTTATAAAACAAGACAAATGTTTTGTCCATGCTCATAAGTATGGTACATGAATTTTATGTAACTTCAGACTAAAAGGCCATTGTGGAAATTGAAAGTGTTTTCTTAATAACTGTGAATATGCTGATTACAGGATCTGACATGACTATCGATGACCGATCATTTCTAATGCAAGCAGTTACAATAATGGATATTCCATCATCTGTTGAGTTCTTTTACCCACGACTTATCCCACTTCATGATATCGATGTTGATTCTGATGAACTGCCATCTTCCATCCCCTGCTCATCAGATAAGATTAGAAATGACGGTGTGTACTTGTTAGGTGAGTACTTACAATTTTAAACATGTATGTAGATATCTAAAATGAGTTTGGCAACAGTTCCATTAGAAATGTGAAACCATGACGTATCATCATAATTTCCAATTTTGTACTTTGCAGAAAATTTAATTATATTATTATGATGTTTGTCATCTGGATAGCAATGCTGCATGGACTTGTAGATACCAGCATTGTGGAAGAACACACTGCCTCTGTCATCAGTTATCACTGTGAAAACCTGAAATCTTATGATACTAAAAATCATTTCCCGTTTAAACTGAAATGAATTCCAAGTACATAAACACTTGATTGACTCAAACAGATCCCAAACTTTGTTATTGTTACAGAGATTTGGTGTATTTGTTTATAAATGTGGTGTCTTACTCTATGTAAAACATTATTTTGAAAATAAGACTCATTCCAGGAGAGAAAACTGTAGTAATGTTTCATGTAACAGCTTTCATATGAAGAACATCGGCATCATACGAACAGGTCACTAAAATGTATGGTCATTTTAATTTCTGGTAGCCTCTGCCTAGAGAAGAATTTGAAGGAAAGTGGACATCATTAATTGTTTCAAGAAGAGCTTCCATTCTTGTTGAATGTATGTTAATTAGGGTCCATGATTTAATATAATAAAGTGCCATCCATGTTGGCAATTTGAAAAAAAAATCATACTTGACTTGAATATTGTTGTATTTGAATACGAGGCTTGCAGGAATGGCATATTAATGTGACGAGTATTTGCCATGACGCCACAGTAAGCAGCTTGAGGTCTCCCCCTTTTCCCCTGCAGTCTTGCATAGCAGATTACAAGTAGCCAGCTGGCATGCACATAAATCTATGCTTTCATACACCCAGCTTTCTAAAAGGATCGAGTAATCCTTTACAAAATATCAAGAAACCAGTAGACTCAACTAGCAACGTGGGGTAATTGACCAAAACAGTGCTGGTTTTATAAAAAAGTGAATTTGTAGCTGTTAAAGTAATTGTGTGAGAGTGTGGAGTCAGTGACAGAAAATTATTGATCACGAGTATTGAAACTCTGGTTCCAAGCCAGTGTTGAAATGGCAGTGTGAACAGTGGATACCCAACTAGTACTAGCACAGCAGTGCACACAGGAAGTACCATGTTTGATGCCCTTTAAGTGGTTGTAACGCATGAACAAGAAACAGAAAAACAGAACAGCAGATATTTACAGTGATATTGTTTCATTGTTTTCAGATGTAGTAGATATTAATAATTGATTGCGATTGTATTTATAATTACAATTAGTATGCAGTAGTTTCATGTTGAGTAAGAACCTACTGTGTGATCAGTGATTATGTCACATTAATCATTATGCCATGTGTGATACCAAGTAGTTTTGTAGGTGGTTACGAACATTTCAGATGAACATGTTGCTTCCATTTTCAGGGTTGAAGTGTTATTTAATTATATCTTTTTAATAATATTCATTGTTGCTCTCGGTGGACTAGTGGTTAGTATGCTCGTCACTGGACCCAAGGTTCGTGGGTTCAAACCCAGCTGAAATTGATGGATTTTTAAGGGCGATAAAAAGACGTAGCGCAACTTCCTTTGGAGGGGAAGTAAAGCCGGCAGTCCCATTTCATAAATTTACAGCTTGTAAAAGAACCTTACGAGCATGAACAAGATGTTTTCTAAGCAAAATTCAGCTGCCATTTCTCACGCAAGTGTCTCCTGATTCACTACTAGATGGCTCTGTCAGTCAAATCAGGATTGAGTAGAAATTGTGCAGAGGCAGTGGGCTGGTCACTTACTACTAACAAATACACACTTCAAAGACTAGGAAACCTCCGAAAAGGAGGCGGTGAAGACCCACAACTGGGTTGTAGAGTCAAGGAAGAAGAATTGTCAGATGTAATCTCAAAATAAAGTGTTTTAGTTGTTTATGATTTTCCCATATCAAATTTCACACCTCTATTATTATTATTTAAGTAGTTGCATAAACTCAACTGAAAGCTAAATATAGATTTCATGTGGCAGAAGTTCACAAGACAGCCATGTTGGTACAGTAAACTTCCTATTATCCAGGGCAGGTTAACTGGGCTCTATCTGGTTTAAATGAAAATTAAAAATTTAGAAAGTCCATTGTAAAAGTTAGAATGTTTAAAATATATACATAAATACAACAATGACGTATTAACATAAATCAGTTGTTGCTAAAGCCTGAGGTTTGTGACAATAGAATGTTATTACTATCCATTGGAATCCTATTTTTTAAAAAATAATTGGTATGTACTGTATTAAATATTATAGAATCTTTTCTGTTACTAGTAAATATTCAAAACTTAAGTAGTGTTTCTGTAAATAAACTTACATATCTCTTACATTTGCATGTTTTCTTTTCATTTTGTAGGCTATCCAGGGTTTCAATTAACCAGGAAAATATATATTCCCTAACTAACCTAAATAATCGAGAGTCTGCCGTATTACTGATTGTATGGAATTAAAGTGTACAAATTTGAGGTAGCTTCCAGTGACTTCACATATTAAGTTCCATAAAAATCTATATGATGTATTTAAACTACATACAGATCAAGTAGAATAGTAAAAGGCCTGTTGAGAATAACATTTCATTTGTCTTCTGTGTTCATTGTTACAGATAATGGCTTCCACTTAGTCTTGTGGATTGGGTCAAATGTTGATATGAAATGGGTAGAGAATGTGTTTGGTGTTCATTCAGCTGCGCACATCGATACTGATAGTACATCATTGCCTGTGCTAGATAACGCACTTTCAGCAAGGATAAAATTCGTCATTGATTCTGTTCGCAAGGAGAGACATCGATGCATGAGGGTTAGTGTCCAGTGTTTTTCTACTGTAATTTTAAGATTGTTATATAGGCATGTTTTCTGCTGTCTTTAAATTAGTAAATTGTGGTGTCTTAACTGAAGGAAGAACGTAAATTACAAGTGTTTGAATATGAAGTCTTCAATAAAATATATGTACCTAAGAAGGAAACCTTTTGGGAAATATTTGTTTGGAATACCAAGAAGGAGATGGGGTTGCAAGAATGGGAGGTATATGAAACTAACTCTGAAACTCGTCCATTGGTTGAATTTGGTGTTATGGAGTTCAGCAAGGTAGAGGATTCACAGACTCAAGGCTGAGTTAACAAAGGTAATGTTTTATACGAGGCGCGTCCTCAAAGTAAGTTTCCCTGGGGCCGTTTACAGAAACAAAACACAATTTCATGGAAATATTTATTGCAACAGATACAGCAAATGTCCAGCTATTTTTCAACATATTCGCCACCGGAATTGAGACATTTGTCGTACCGTGGGACCAACTTTTGAATACCTGTGTCGTAGAAGTCTGCCGCCTGGGAGCTGGAATAAGAACCTCCATCTTCAACAGCTGCAACGATGCTAATGTGAGAACACGGGAAGTTCCGTTAGTGCATGCGCCATGCTACGTCATTGCTCTATCACGTACGCACAGTCGCTTCGCGCAATATAAGGTTTGCTAGCTGTGGGACGAGTGGGAAACTTACTTTTGGGACGCGCCTCGTATA